AGTTAATTTAACTATTGGTCCTACAACAAAAATCAGGTTTGAGCAATATTATCCAAGCCAGACTTCTCTTTCCTACCTTTTTAGTTTTATTAGCTATCCTAAATTTGTTTTCAAGATGAATCTTCTAGTGGAAGAAGGGAAGGAAGTTACCATTCTTTCTTATTTTTACCAGTGTCCTAAAAAGAACTGGTATATTTGAACAGACTGATGCATGACACACAACTCTCTTTCCTTCCCTAACTTCTTCCTGTGACTTGCTCTGTAACCTCAGTGAAGGAAAAATTTAAAAAACCCTCTTCTGTCTGATAATATGCCCACCAGCCCTGAAGAAAGGGTCCTGATCATATTGCTATGAGAACACCTGGAACTACTGCTATGCACACAGACTAATCTAGACATTATTAGCCAGCAGAAAAAAAGAGAATATCTACACAACATAGCATTTAAGTCATGCTACATGGCATGATGAGACTTAATCTCTGTTCCATTTAACACAGATTTAAATATTCTATGGAATAGAATTTAGAAGCCTAGTCTCCTAGTGCATAAATTTCATAGAAGCACTTGATAAACACCATTTGCAAAGGGTTTTACCTTTCTGCACTCCCTTGGGAAACTGAGACTATGAAATCCTGACCTCCTGCGCAAAGGAGTGGTCTGGATAGCCATGTGATAACCTCACACAGGCAAACAAACTAAACCAGGGCTTTCCCTGGGTGTGTTTTGTCAGAGCAGACTCCAGCCATCAAAGAAGGAGGGAAGAGCTCATGACTGAATCATGACCAGCCAGCGGTACCCAAGTCTCAAGATTAAGGGTAAAACTCAATCCTACCTTCAGCCTTGCCTACCAACTTGAAGGATCACTGCTGAATGTCAGAATCTTCTGGATTGGATTCTGAGGCACCTAGCTCACTTGTAACTCAATACATAACTATGCTGGGAAACTGGCTTGCTCTAGACACGCAAAGCTTGGGGTCTGGTGTTCCTACAGCAGTTTCTGAAATCAGGCTTCAGTCACTTCTGGAAGGATTCCAAATCAGTTATGAGTTCCACACATTTAAATCCTATTTTATTTCTAAATTCTAGTTCTTAGAAGCATTCCAGGTATAAGTGATCACTCAGCCTTTCCCAACAAACAGCAGGACATTAGGGTACCCAAAACAAACAGCAATAAAATTACACTGGGCCATCCTAATCTGTTTCCCCTTTTTATAACAGTTCTGCAAGTTGGAAGCCGGGGGGGGGGGGGGTGGGGGGTGGGGGGGGGAGGTGATGGGTATTTACTATTTTAATAACTATGAACTACTAAGAAATTTGTAATATTCATCTTGATACTGTTAAATGACTTTAAAACAAGATTGGTGAATGCATGCAAACAGAAATGATCCACACTGAAGCAAAAATCAACCTAGCCTAAAGTTAACTAATAGCCTTCACACAGATTTGCATTTACAGACTTACGCACCACTTAGGTGTTGGACACCTTTACTGAAGTTGGTAGGATGTTATGTTTAGAAGAGGCCTAAAGGTGTGGTTTTAACAAATTTAATTAAAATAGCACAAAAAGTTGTGCTTATCCTGCCAGATGTGATCAGTGTTCCAGCCAAGTATCAGTTTAGCCACAATAACTATTAATTCAGGCCTAAACCTGTGGCTACCATCAGGCACAGTGTGATTAATTCCAGAGAAATCTGGCAAGAAATGACTATGTTTATTATCTGTTTTTAAAATCATCCCCTATTAATAGTTAAATCTACCTTCAAAACCAAGGGAAATAGAACCTAGAATATCAGTGGGTATCCAGTCTTCTAATAGTTTCAGGCAACTTTAATAATATATGGCAGATGACTATCAAGATGACATCTGTCTTAATTTATAGGAAGGAACTCATTAGCACAGGTACTACTATTAAAAACAACCAATCACAAATCTGGAGAATGTGTTGTGTGTTCTGCATGTACCCAGAATCTGCCCCTAACAGATTACACTGCAATTAACAAGCCTGTAGAGACTGATGTTTCCATTTGCAGTTTCCAATTAAAACATGCATTATTTATAACAGTAAAACATTTGCCTGAATATAACAAGACAGAGAGTCCTCTGTCAACTCTGCTACAGCCCCATACCGATGCTGTGGCTGCACTATGTGGAACTACTTCTCTATGAAAGGTGTTTCCTGACAGCAAAGTGAGAAGGAAACGTAATGAAAGGGACAGCCTGTTCAAGAGGAAACACAGTTCATGGCTTTTTAACAGTCACACAAAAAGCCCACCTCAGTTTCCCCGTGGACTCACATAAGTTGACAGTCAAACACACATCCACCATCACTGTTTGCTGATTTACACAGAAAGAAAACAAAGCATATTAACTTAGATATTCCTAAAAAAATCTGCTTGGAGTTGGAAGCAGGCTTGAAAGATTTCTAATATATATGGCAGTGGAACTAGAAATTAATTGCTTACTGATCTAACTATATAGTTATATAAATATATATTAATACAGTTTTACATGATAGCCACATAAGTGCTTCATTAATAGCTACTCCTGAATGACCAGGGTGAGACAACTTTTTATGAAAAGCTAGTATTCCAAGATGTCTTAACACAACAGAAGAGAAACATGTCAAGATTAGTAGTTTCTGTATCTAAATTTCATTCCTTTTCTAGAGAGCAAGGAAGGACTAGACATTTTCTAGAGAGCAATGACAGACTGTGTCATATCCATACTGAAAGATCACTTACAAGGACGTACCAAAATCCTTCACTTTACTGCAGAAAAACTGTACTGCCTGAGGCTGGTATGAAGAACAGATTAGAATTTGGCTCTATAAATCTTACCTTATACGTACAAAACCTGCCACATCAGTCTTTTCAGTAAATTGGCTAATGCTGAATATTTCTGCCCATTTATAATGGCTAATAAATATAAAAAAAAAAAAAAGAAATAAAGCACCTACTTTGTATTCAAGATCCCATTCCTAATTAACTTATTAAACCTATCATACAGCCTGCACAACAACAGTGGGGAGAAAAAAAAGGGAAATAAAAAAACCAAGACCCAGCACATTATAAATTCTAGTGGGCACGCAACTGCACCATGCTGTGCCTGCAGCTCTGCGACTCCAGGCTGTACTCTTGCCTGTTCTCAAATGCTAAGGTTGAGCTTGTATGAAAGACGTAAAAACAGGACAGAATGCTGCCAGAAGTAATCTTCAGTAATTTAGTAAGTGGTACAGACCATCGTTCACGACATTACTGAATAAATTCCCTAGAAAAGTAGGTTCTATATTGCTTACACTGCAGTTGTCAAGGTGACATAAAAATGAAAGCTCAGTTCACTTACCAACTATTACAAGTCCCCTTGTGCTTTTTGCAAGATTGGGGCCGTTGATCTGATTCGGTTTCCGCCGAGTTCCAGTCTGGTTAATTAAATTCCACATACCTACATCCCCTTGTACACAACCAACCCGTTAACTCATCATCCTCTGGGCCTATCAACAAGGATCAAAGTATTCCCCCAGTGCAAAGTTAATGAAAAGCTGCTGGAATCCTTCAAAGTAAAGTACTGCTGTTGTTGTAAATAAGTACTTAACCATTCAAGCCATTTCAAGTTAAATAACCATCACCCTGTTGTACAAACAAGTCAAAATGCTGCAATGTCAATTGCATTGAGGAAAGAAAATATTTCCCATTAGTAGCTATGTATATCCTCAGTTGTAAATGTCCAACTATTACACTTCCAGATGAAGAAGTACCAAGTGTTTCTGTTTAGGTATGCAATTCTAACCTCTCCTCTTCCAACTGTATAACAGGAAGATGAGGTCTGTGATGACCATCAGTTTCTAACAGTGTAAGAATTTCCTTCTCTTAAAATTAATTTATCTTCAATTCTTTAATAAAGATTCTATCTACAATTTGCCAGTAGTTACTCTCCACATAACTCATCTAATAACATTTTCCTGTAAATCAAGAAATCTACAACTTACCTGGAAGGGAAACTTTTATCCTGTTGAAGCAGCGTATTCTTTACAATTGTGTTTAAGAGAACAGCGTACATGCAATTGAGTCACTATTTGCTTCTGTCTGGTAGGAAGTTGTGATATTAGCTTTTTTATTTTTAGCAACAATTAAATTTTCTGAGCAACATTTATAGCTGATAACAGACTCTACAAAACCACCATAGTCAAGAAATGTGTAGTCAGAGTAAAATCAGTCCTCTAACAGCCTAAAATTAGAAAGTATAGCATTCTTCTAATTTGATCTTCTAAAGTGAGTAACATCTATTTCGCCATATAGGGTACAGTTTCTGTGATGTCATATTTCAATAGTTTATATTTTTACTTCAACAATGGGTCAGCTTATGATAATTGACACATTTTGTTACAAAATAAATAAATATGAAGGAATTTTAAGATTTTTTTACCACATTGAGTCCTACAGCATCAGTAGATTTAATAATTTACTTGTGTGTATGTTTATATATATATTTAAATATATATATATATAATTTACGTAGAGACCTGTATCAAAAATAAGAGATGTAGTACAGAAACAACCAGTAGCGTTCACTGTCAGCTTTGGTACATTTCAACAGATTCTGCCTTCAAATGTCAAACTCTTCATTTGTAAGTAAGCAGAATATATCAGCAAGAGGTAACCAGAACAAAAAATCAGTATGTCCACCTTTGTGCAACACAAATCTTCACACTCCTCTCAGCACACTGGAGTTTCCACCTGCCCCAAAATACACAGAAGGCTTTCGGGAAGACAATTCTAAGTGCTTTTAATTGCCACATAAGGACTGTTTCTTCTCTTCTTCCAGATAACCCCTGGCTTTCAGCATAGAAGTGTGACAATGCCAAAAGCTTCCTTATTTGCATGGATGCTCTGGTGGAAGTTTAAGCATCAAGAACCTAATTTTCCACAGGATTTGAGGGTAAAAGTGAGCTGGGAGCTGGTTAAGCGAGTTCTTGAACCTAGGTGATGTTTCTTAATGTGTTCTTGGAGAAGTTGTTTCTCAGAAGAATAGCAGCAAAAACCACACCTCACCAGTGTGATGTCAGTATATGTGAAGGTCCAAGCTCTTCTTCTGAATGCTGTAATAAATTAAAAATGTATCAGTCATTAGTATTATCAGTAGCAGTGAGCACTGCACAAGCACAGCCTGGCAGTTTGTATTTGGAGTGTTCAGAAATCCAAAACAGCCAAACAAGAGGCGAGGGTATGAGTCATCCCTAGCAAGATCTTGTGGCTCTGTCTAGTGGCAGAAGCTAGATCAGAACACAGCCCTCCTGAGCCACAGCTCAATGATTTAACTTACAGGTAGCTGTATGCCCAAGTGAGGGTTTCTAGACCTAAAATATGTCTTTTTGTCCTCTCAAGCAAGATAACACCTTTCACTGTTTTTTTTCCCTACCACTGGAGTAAATTAGTGGAGCCTGCACCATGTTTCCAGCAGTGATTCTACTTCACTTTCAGTTGTGCAAATGTGGATATACCTACTCTTCAAAAATAAAACCTTCATACATGCAGTAGGTACCTAAACTCCTATAAGGACAAGTGCCCCAATTTACCTTTTAACAGGACCTTATATGCATTTATATCCTTAATGTAAGGATGCTGGTATTGCACCAGCATGCAGCCACGCATTATCTGCATATAACTCCAGCTCAATGTCATGAAAACTGCAAATCAGTCTGAGTATACCAAAAAGTTCTACCTTTTATTTGTCATTTCAACCCACTTAAGTTTGCATTATGAGAGGGACATACTTCAAAATAAAGAATGTAACCGTAACAGCAATACTGTCCATGATTCATTCTATATTAAAATGTGAGGTCTGCTACATACTTTCTACGGGTCTAAATTCTGCCCTGAGATAGTGGAATTATCACCTGATCCTAATCAAAACCTCAGTTCTTTCACATTCAGGGAATAGCAAATATAGAACCTAAATCTTTAGATTTTGGCAGTTCCCTCATACAAAGCCAACCTAGAATACAGCTGTATACAGGCTGTAAGAGAACTGAGACTTGTGGGTTAGCCTCAGCACTTGTTACCTAACATCAAACAATCATATTTCAAAACTTACCGATTTGTAATGGTAGCTTCCTTGAATGTAAGGCTTTCCTTAAACAGATACTGAGGATATGTTTATTTTGGCAACAACTGTTTGCAGACCTATGAGCTAGGAAATTAAAACCACCACCTACAAGAGGATTCATCCTGCATACAGGTGTCTACTCTAGATTTCATCTGTAAAGTTAACTGTAGGCAGGCAGGAAGTAACCCTAACGGGGGTGAATTTCCCCATGCATTTAACTAATGTCTCATATGAAATTAAGATGTCTTGGGGGAATGCCCACCATTCTCCGCTGAGTATAGAAGGGGGTCCACAAAGAGGTCAGATTAAACAACTAAGTTGGCTAAAATTAATTCTTAGACTTCACAAGGCATATACCATACCAGCTTAAAAACCTCAAGGTTGGTGCTGCAAATATTTATGGGTTTTCTGTATTCAGAGTTGTGGTCCTCAGGTGATGGTGGTATTGGTATGAATGCAACAAGCAAAAGACACTAGACTTTCTTAAGCACACTACATAAAAAAAGGATACCCTAACCCTTCTTTCCCCTTACACCTAAGCCAATTACATTTTTTCGCTTCCATGTACGCAACTATTTTACTACACAGATGTGTTTTCAAGGTAAGATTTACACAAATTGTGAAGTATTTTCCCATATATTCTTATTAAAGCAGCACAGAACTCTCCCTGTCATAATCAGGAACACACAACTTTAAGGAAATCCTCTTGTAGTCTTTGACAGCAAAACTACCAAAAATGTGAGTCTGTCGGATTCTGCTTCATCAAAAGGAGTTATTTGACTCTTCCATGTCACTAAGCAAGACAGATATCCCAAGCAAATTTAGGTCTCTTTTTCTACATAGCTCTAAGCTCTTGGTAAGACAAAGCCTTAAAGTAAAAAGACTGCTGTGAACAGCCTAGTTACATACACATTTTAAGTCTTGAGTTCATTATACATATACATACACACAAATATATACACATATTGATACAGAGGGATGCACTTTAAAATTTCACTGTAATCCTGAATTTTGATGATCAGTTTCCACTGGAGAGTTCACTGTATTTTTTCACTCAATATATCTGATGAACGTAAAGCATAAGGTGAGAGACTGAATAAAATTTTTTTCTAATTGAATAACAGCAAACATTATGTATTTATTCACAAGCTAAATTAGAATACTGGGAAAGTCTAGAGATCACACTTTTCTGTATATTTCACCACTGCAGTTATGCCATCCTTAGTCTTGTTTACACTCAGGTCTGCATGTGATTTCTACCCTTTACACCTCACCTTTGAATACAGCCCACTGAATCAGTCAAGGGGTTCTGTGTGAGTGTAAAGTATATGCTCAGGGACTGGAAAAGGGTTGGGTCTTTTTCTTTCCTCTTCTTTAGTATTCTTACATTCTATTGTATTTTTGATACAATTCTGAAACAGAGTGTGTTATATTCTAGCGTGCTTAAAAAATCTGGTACAGACCTGAAATAGATTACTTAAGAAAAAAAACCCCAAACTTAACTGTATTTACCCAGTTCAGGCAAACTGTTTCACAAGCGGTAATTTCAAACAACCAAACTATTTATGTATGGACCATTATGCACACAGCAACTAAATGTTTTGTAAGTAGAGATTTCGCATACAAGAAACCAGTACTTTCAGACATTGGTTAAAGTATTCACTTCCTGATCTCATAGGACTCTCATTTTTAATTTATTAAAGAACAGTTATATGAACTTCAAATGAAATTAGTTCCACAGCAAAAGTTAAGTGTGCAAGTGTTTACATTATGATAGCTAATGTGCATCTAAGGGAGCAAAGCAGGCTGGTGGAAGAAGGCACACTGGTAATTTGCAAGCAACAAAATCTTTGATCCCTGCAAGAAGGGCTGGCTTATTACAAGTAAATGAAAAATGTCTGTAAAGTAATACTGCAGAAAGAGATAAAATACTATGACAGATATTAGAATGTTTTATTAAAAAACAATTTTTTAGCAGTACAGAACTTACTGAATTACAGCCCCTATTAGGCTTAGCTGTATCCTACAACTAAAGCTTTCTGATAGGAAACTGTATTTCCTATGCCTACTACAGTAATGCATAAAGAGTGTCTACTCTGCGGAGTTCACTGCTATCATACCCCTCAAGTTCTTCAACCACTACTCTCTCCTGCTCATGAATTAGGCCATTTTTGATACTTCTTAGAAGTAAATATCTGCAAGCAAATATTTGTCTTTCTAACAGGCAGCCATTCTATTTTACAGACTTCCCTCATTTGTTACAGCATTTGGATAATGTTTACAATTATGAATTTTTACACATCTGCAATCAAAATTAGGAAAAATTATTTTTCCCTGTTATTCCAATACTGCACACTCAAAAATTCTCAATGAAAAGAAACTTAAAGAAGTGATTTGTGAACATTAGCTTATCTTACTTTAAACCTTTTGAGTTTAAAAAACCCCAAAGCAAACAGTACATCATTCAGTGTACAGAGTTTAAAGACTTAAGAATGTAACATTTAAACAGCCTCTAAGGCTGCTAAATACATACTTTCAACATGTACTTAGACTTTACTAAGACTAGCTAATGCTCCCACTCATCACATGACACATGCTGCCAACACTGCAAAATGAAAAGTGTTAGCAGTGTCAGAAATGCAAGCATTTCCTCAGTTGGCAGGAGCAGGAGGGTGGAATCAAAACACTACAACAGAATCACTGTGAAAAAGCAGCATGGTGCACCTTATACAGCAAATTAGGACGTACCGTTAGTGAATGAACACATTTTTGCTTTTATGCAAGTCACTACTATTTGTCCTAGTACCCCTGCACATACAGACACAGATACTATCGCTGCCTTCTACTGTGTATTTTTGTATTTATAGAATCATAGAATAGTTAGGGTTGGAAAGGACCTTAAGATCATCTAGTTCCAACCCCCCTGCCATGGGGAGGGACACCTCACACTAAACCATGCCACCCAAGGCTTCATCCAACCTGGTCCTGAACAATGCCAGGGATGGAGCATTCACAACCTCCCTGGGCAACCCATTCCAGCGCCTCACCACCCTTACAGTAAAGAACTTCTTCCTTATATCCAATCTAAACACCCCCTGTTTAAGTTTTAACCCATTACCCCTTGTCCTGTCACTACAGTCCCTAATGAACACTCGCTCCCCAGCATCCCTATAGGACCCTTCAGATACTGGAAGGCTGCTATGAGGTCTCCAAGCAGCCTTCTCTTCTCCAGGCTGAACAACCCCAACTATGTTCCTCATTAGTGTTCCATACATCTTTGAGGACAGTCTCTGCAGTAGTTATATACAGACAGAGTTGTAAAGAGGGGACAGAAAGCAATTCCTTTAAATGAAAAAGCCTTCTTAGAGACAAGCTCCCAATAGGAATATATTTAAATGTGTAAATTTAGGGTGGGGGTTTTACTGTTGCTTTTTAAAAGACATCAGAATTACAGAATTCGCCTGACAGAGGGATTATTGATACTTACCGACTATATGAACAGAGTCAGCATTTGCACGGCCTCTCACTAGCGCATGTTCAGAAACACTGCTGCAGGGAGCTTGCATCAGTGAAGGTATAAGAGCAAATCTCACATTTGAAAGCCTTCTCACCTACCAAGAAATAGAAAGCAAATATTAAGGATATAGTATCTTCCATGGGAATATAAAGTATGTGTGGGAAATTAAAAAATATTAGTGGATTAGTATTTACAGCACATCCCCCAAGCCACAATTCATCTTTCCCATGATCTAGTTGCTAATGAAGCATGATCTCAGATAATGGTCTAGGCAGTTAAATGCCACAGTCTGTTTTACCAGTAGGAGACCTATTGCATATAAATTTGGCTTCCATCAGAAGTCTGATCAAGAAAAAAACAGCCAGAACCATTTCCAAATTTAGTTTTGAAATTTTTTTTCCTGAACTGAAGTTCAGAGGGGCAACTTTCAGCATGGCCTATGTCACCAGATAAAAACAAATAAAAAAATCCCCCAG